AGAATGGCTGAAAAAGAAAAGAATCAAGGTGTTGCAATGGCCCAGTCAAAGTCCAGACCTCAACCCGATTGAAATGCTGTGTCGGGACCTCAAGAGAACTGAGCATAAAGAAATGCCCGCAAACCTCAATGAACTGAAGCAATGTTGTAAAGAACAGTGGGCCAAAATTCCTCCTGATAAAGTCATACAAAAAACAATTACTTCAAGTTATTGCTGCTAAAGGTGGTTCTACAAGCTATTGAATCATAAGGTGTACTTAGTTTTTCACACATGGCTTCTCCATTTTGGCTTTATTTTTGTAAAATAAATGATGGCATGGTGCAATATGTCATGTGTTGTTGTTCATCTGAGGTTCTATTTACCTACTTTTGAGAACTGCTAAGGACCAGATGATTTTTATTATGTCCTGATACGTAAAACCATAGAACTGAAAGAGGGTGTACTTTCTTTTTCACACGACTGTAAGTGAATATAAGAAAATGTGGAAGGTCAATAAATAATGCAAATACTACTAATTTGCAGATAGTAATTGTCAGTCAACAGTTCTCAGAACACTGTACAGATGTTGATATCAGGAGACTATAAACCAGGTAGGAAAAGGGAACTTTTAATGCATTTCTGATAGTGCAGTTCTTCAGGTTAGCTGGGAACTGCACCATATTGCTTTCTTTTCCTTTTCTGAATTCCTGTTGCTGGAAAATAACAAAATTTAATGACTTGCTTCATTAGAATGATTAGTGCTGGACTGGTATTTCCTAAGTTCAGGATACTAGTGGGGCATTCTCAACAATTGACCTCTGTCTTTACAAATTATTTGGTATTTCTGCCATGCTACAGAAAAAGGCTGATGCTCGTATTCTCTTTCCTTCCTGTGTTATGGGTTTTAACCACAGGAATCACTGCTGAATGACACACGACACTCCTTTTCCTGTATATTTTCCATTCCGCACAGTTTATGATGCCAGTTGCGTGAACAGGAAAACAGCATTGAGACTCTCTCCCAGAGAAGTGACACATTATTCAGGAAGACTCTATAATAGAAATTCAGCCAAAATCCAGTTTGCCACTCTCTCCTGGGCAAAAGTAAAATGCACCCAATGTGTACAGCAGTAGCATCATGACTAGGTTCCTACAATGAAGATTTACTTCTCTTCAAGTCAACTTCTTTTAATATATGTTGAGGAAAGTAATCTATTAGAAAAATGCTAACGATTATGAGCTTCTGTTTTGCCCCTGCAGCAACTATCCCATCTCCATGCAAGGCACTTTAAGATTATATGCATCACATATTCATCACAAGAAAGGAGTCAGACCCATTCCTATACTATCACACTAACCTTCTCCATCATCTCCTAACTCACATGACCTAGACTAGCACATAAAATAGCCTGTTTCACAGATAATCTGGGTTGTGGAACAACTTGCAACATTGAGTCTTGCTACTCTTGTCTGGTTTTCAAGTAATGGGAACATATCACACAGAAAAATACATATTCACAAAGCAAGTGAAAGTCACTTATTTCCCAAGATGGTATTGAAATTCCTCATCACATTGCTTCAACAGGCCATTTATCAGAACACTACAACTATCCCCTAGGTTCTTTTTCTTCCCCACCAAAGGAAGCACCAGATAACAGAAGATACGACCATCCCAAGACCAAGCTCCTTGTCTACCACTTTATAATCACATAACCAACAAAGCATCAGGCTAAAGTTCCGATGTGTGTTTTGCCAATGAGGTACCATAAATATATGTAGCCATATGTGTCATCTTCAAAGCTTACTAACCACCTCATGTTTGATCACAGATGCTGCCAACACACCCACATACAACAACTGGGTACAATGTGCTTTGGTGGAAAAGATGGCATTCATTTCCCCCAATCATTTGGTCTTTCATAGAAGCTCTCTTTAAATATACTAATCAGCTTTTATCTTTAAACATATTCGCCAAGTGCTAGGAATGCACTTTCTTGTGCCTGCAAGACAGTACCAGATGTACTAAGAATCACAGAATTATAACCCATTATAACTTCTTGCTGGGGTTTAAACCAAGAATAAGCAAACATACCCTTAGAAGAAGCAACTTACTGATGATGCACTCAACAAGTTTCTAAGCCTACAAAAGAAGGCAATTAGGCAGCACATGATGCAAGTGGCTCAAATGAAGACAGCTGCCATGTTACTGAAGACTGAATGAAAATAATGAGTTTCTCTTAAAGGATAAATGGTGTCATACTACATGCATTTGGACATCATTAAACAAAACTATCCAAAAACTGGGGTGTCAGGGCCTTCTGCTTTTCCTGCCATTATTTCCCCCCACCCCCTGCGCTTACATCCCAAGGCACTGAAAGCCAGCGAGTGCCCACGTGCGATAAATCATGAGAATTTGAAAAATACGTCATCAGTCCACGACAGCCACCAAACCCAGCCACGCCCAGTTAGAGTTTATGGAACCAAGAGGTGCCAAAGGAGCTGAGCCAGGCATAGCATCAAAAAGGCTACTTTAGGAGGCAGCCAAAGAAAACATGAAGTTGGCTCCCAGTCTAGAATTTCCTAAAAATGCAAACACTGTACTGAGAAGCTTTCGATGGATAAGAGAAATGTTAAGGGGAGGACCACCATGCAATTATAAAACAGGAGAAAATCCTATAAACTTGACCCACGCAGCCCCCTCCCCCAGCATCCTTTACAGACTCAAGTGAAGGCTTCTGAACTGAACAGCTCCTCTACTGGTGTGATCAGCTCAGTGTAAGCGATCTACAGAACAGGGGAGGGCATGAAAGATTCGGTAGGGTGTCATCCACTCAAACACCCTTAGCTCCTCCATCCACCCACAGCATTTGGACTTGTCCTTTGCAGTAACTTCCTGCACCCAAATGTATTCAGCCTGCACTCAGAGAAGGCTTAGAAGGGGAGAAGATGGGCAGGCAAGAAGAGCAGAGCTAAGGCAACCGCGGCATTTTAAAGAGGGTTCAAATGAGGACAACCGACATACTTGAAGGAGGGGGAGGAAAAGCGAGTGCCTGTCGTTGCAGCCGCCGCCGCGGGAGAGGAGCTCGGCTTCCCTTTCTAGAACTGAGCCCTTATCTTTCCGCAAACAGGTCCGACTGCCGCGGGCGCCTGGGCTCCCCGCGATCCTCGCCACGGCCGTACCCTCCCCTCCGCCCGCACCCCCCTCCCCGGGCGAAAGTGCCGCTCACCTGTGTGCACTCGGTAATGGGCTTTGAGGTGTGATGACTTGCCGTACACTTTGCCACAGCCACTGTAGGGGCACTTGTGTCTCTTTTCCGCGGCCAGCTTCCCTTTCGCCGGCCCTCCGCCGTGCAGGAGCGCGAGGGCGCCCGGCCCGCGGCCAGCCTCCTGGCCCTCCGCCGGGCTGTGGGAAGGGCTCGACCCCGACTCGGTGGTCACGTCGCTGTCGGACCCGACATCCTCATCGGGGCTCTCCACGCTGTCACTGCAGATGGAAGGGGCGGGGAGGGGTCTGTATTTGTTCAAGTCCAGCAAGCTTTTGGCGATGGTCACCAACGTGCAATAATCCTTCCAGGCGTCCCGGGGGTCGTTCATTTCCTTGGTCACGACGGCGGCGGCGGCGGCGGCGGCGGCTTCCTCCCCGGGCATCTTCAGGACCTCGGCTTCTCGGGTCACGTCTGACTGTGCCACGGAGCGGTTGGAAATGGACACCAAGCACTGTGCAGCCACGAAGTCCATGTAAGCCACCGCTGACATCTTGCAGGCGACCGTCAGCCCCCCTTCCGCCCGGGGTAAAGATTTAAGAGGGGGAGGGGCAGGACGGGGGAGAAGGAAGAGGGCCCCGGGGCAAAACTTCTTCCGCGCTGCCTGCCTGTCGCCGCCGCCCTCTCCCCCTCCAAGGGCAGGGTGGGTAGGTGGGGTGACGGTGTTACAAGCGCCAGGCGGCTTGTCGCCTTGCCTTCAGGCTGCGGATCGCGGGTGGAGGTGGGGTGGGGTGGGATGCCGCTGCAGCCAGGAGGGATCCACTGCCGTGGCTCGGCGTTTACATAACCACGATCATCCGGAATTCCCAGCCAGGAGAACCACCGCTAGCCTACCTTTTGACCTCGGTCGCCGTCGTTTCCCGCGCCCCCGCTCCACGGACGCCGGAGAACTCCAAATCGGTGAGGCTTTGCGCGTGGGTCATGCACTCCCGGACACGCTTCTGAGGCTGGACTAGGATAAGGCTCCCTTCTTCCGAAAACAGGGTCACGAGTGGTGGTTTCAAGTAATCCAAGTAGCACCAGCAGGGAGTTTTCCCTGTTCGCCGCCGCCTCCTCCGCCTCCTCCTCCTCCTCCCCACCCCGCGAGGGGACGGAAAGAAGAAGAAAATCGAAAGGAGCACGGGAAGAGCTCAGCAATCCGCGCACCCAAGCCGCCGCCGCCGCCGCCGCGTTTGCTTCTCCGCCCCCGCTTCGCGAGGCTTTCCAGCGCATTCACACAGTCCTCAGAAGGCGCGGTGCTGAAACATCAGCCCAAGCGTGAGGACTCTACGCAGCAGCAGCAGCAGCAGCACAGACTGAGGCTGGATCTGCCCACTGCCTGACTCACTCCCCCCTCGCCTACGGCTCCTCAATGTTCCAGCACAGCCCTGCTCAGGACCAATTTCGCAGAAGCCCATCACGCAAAAGGTTCTTCCAGCGAGCCCCCCTCCGCCCTTCCACCCCCAATTGGTCAGCCGGGAGAGTGATTCAACTCTGTTTACCTTCTCCTCCTTCCACTCAGAAGGACCCTTTTTGCATGAGAGGTGTGTCTACAGACGGGGACCTCGGCCAATCCTAAGGTTTCCTCCCGGTGCCTCGTGCTACTCCCGACGCCTTGCAGCCCCCACTTAAAAGGGCAACTAAGGGAAAGGCGGGAGAGTTTATTCCAGCGGCACCGAGGTTTGGAAGCACGGAGCAGCGTGCATTTTGCCTCTGAATGGCCCGTTGGGCGGGGCGTCGGCCATCCCGGGTGCGAGGACCCATCAGATCCCGCTCCCGCTCGCGTCTTTTCTCTCCAGGGATAACTGCCGCACGCTCAGCTAGCCAGGACTCCAAGTTTGCGCTCCCGGCAGAAATCGGGTTAACTGGCTCACTGAAAGCCCTTATAGTCCCAGCAACCAGCTGACCAATCAAAAGTGCTTTGGCTGATGTCACTAACATTGGCTCCACCAATGAAAAATACATTCCAAGCAGGCTTCACTTGTAAACTTAGGTCTGAGCACTACTGTAGTTAGAAAAAAGTGTTTTGAAAGTAAAATAAAAACTTTAGTATTCTTTGGGATGGAGAGGAAGAGGGGGTCGGGGAAAAGAGATTGTGTAATCGCAGTAATATCCCTATATTTAGTTCACACACACATTTTACAATTGAATATAGGGTGTGAATCTTCAAATCACTGATTCAAAACAAAAAGATTCCAAGATGGCATATTTTGTGTGCTATGGAATGACCAGTGTGGCAATAAATAGATATACACCCCTTGCCTTGAGAAAGCTGCCAAGAAAAAACATATTAATATTAATGCAACAAGTAGGGCAAAAATTTAGAAGCTGGGAGGAAAAAAGCTTAGCAAAGAAAGAGAAACTTAATGGCTGTTTCTCTTGTTATTGTGAATAAGTGAACAGTTCAGGCCTCAGAGAAATTTGCGCTATAAAATTTGATACAGAACATTCTTAATGCTTCCTTGTCAACTAGTGGTCATCTGGATTTTTGCAAAAAAGAAAAAGGGAGGTAAAAGGTACCCCCATACACTTTGCAGCAAGAGTAAGAATATAAAGAATAATTTGGCTACGAATCTTATACAATAAATCCAATTGCAATAAAAGTTCACTCTCATTTAACGTTACACATATTATAGCAAATATCTACTAGTCACAGTCCGTGGCATCAAAAGTAAGGTGAGCATAAAGAGTTAAAAAGGGAAATTTTATCCTTTGCCCTTTCAATCAACAAACAACACACCAAAAAATATAGGATGGAATTCACTGGAAAAAAAGCCCATTAATTAAGTTAATATGATTGTTGTTATTCATTGAGTCACTTCTGACTCTGTGACCCAACAGCCATCATACATTTCTGGGATTATCTGTTAGTAAATGCTTCTTTGATTTCTCATCAACTCAGTGGCTACATTTAACCATCTTGTTTCAGTTGCCTTTGATTTTTACAAGCTTCAGAGTCTTCTCCAATTACTCTGGCCCTTGCATTATATGTCTAAAGTGTTTAAGTTTAGCTTTCAGTGCTTTCAGGAGGAGACTGTTTTAACTGAGTGTTGAACTGAGAGCCAATCTTTCTTTCTTCTGGACCATTCAGTTGCTATATAATTTAACTGTTGCTTCCTAGTTATCTTACAAATTCTTCAATATGCAAATAAGGTGGCCAAGAATATACCCCTGTTTTTAAAGGCTATCCATTGTTTGTTGTGGCCTACACAATCAAAAGCCTTCGTATAATCAGCGAAGTAACAATTGATATCTTTTTGGAACTTCCTTTCCTTTTCCATTATCCACTGCTGATTAGCAATGTGAACTTGAGTGCCTCTGCTTTTCTATATCCAGCTCATTCATCTAGAAGCTTTTGTTTCATATATCTGCCTGGATTGCAAAATCTTGACCACTATCTTATCAAAATGTGAGACTGATTTAATTGTTTGGTAATGCAAGCAATCTTCAGCACTGCCTTTTTGGTACTAGAATATAAATGGATTCTTCCAGGCCCTCGGCCATTGCTGTGTGTTCCACACTTTCTTTTATTGCATTATCTTACAATGTTTTAAACAGTTCAACTGATATATCATCAATTTCTGCAGTTTTATTCCTCATAACTTGTTTAGGGTCCATTTAACTTCACTTTCTAGAATGACTGTCCTGATTGTATGTGTCATAGATTTTTGACTTAGGGAAGGGGCGGTTTCACTTTCTATTTGCACCATCTCTTCTTTATATCTTCTTTCACTCTTAGATCTTTGCCTTTTGCCTTTTACTTTGTTTTTTATCGTAGCCATTTATGTATAAAAGGAACTCTTTGGTTTTATTATTTTCTTAAATAAATCTCTTATCCTTTCCATTCAGTTCTTACCTTCAGTTTCTTTACATTGCTTACTTAGATATGTTTGATTCTTCTTGCTGTACTCTGGAACTCAGTGTATAAATTGGGCAGATTTTTCTGTTTCTATTGCTCCCTGCTTTCCATGTTTCTTCAGCTATTTTCAACCTATCAGCAGAGAGCCTTCTTTTCCATTTTATATTGTGCGGTATTGTCTGCTTTATTTTTATTAGGTCATGAATTTCAGTTCATAGTTTTTCCGGTAGTCTATTTATAAAATCTAACCCATTTAATCTGTTATTTACCTTTATCACATAGTCATGTGGAATATTGCTGAGGTTTGTCTTGTTGGTCTGATTTGCTTTGTTTCCTTTAGTTGTAATTTTGCAAGAAGTTTGTGGTCTGAGCTGCAGTCAACCCCAGTTCTTGTTTTTGCTTATTGAATAGAACTTCTCTATCTTTACTTAGAGAATATATAGTCTATTTATTTCAGGGTTGTACATCTGGTGATGTCAAAATTGTAGACTTGTTTTTTAGGTTGTTGGAAGAAAGTTTTTGCTATAAACATTGGATTTTCTTGCCAGAGCTCCAGTTTGTATCTGTATGATTACTCCCCACTATTTAATACGTTTCCCTCCATTCACATTAAAAACAATAATTTAGCACCAATTCTGAAGGAACATTGAGGTCTGGTCAAAGCTTTCAAGGGCTCTGGAGCTTCATTGTATGTACCTCCTGATATAAATATTTGTAATAATAAAAACATGACAGTTTGGTGTAGTGGTTAAGGCACCAGGCTAGAAACTGGGAGATCGAGTTCTTTTCCTTCCTTAGGCATGAAGCCAGCTGGATGATCTTTGGCCAGTCACTCTCTCTCAGCCCTAGGAAGAAAGCAATAGCAAACCCCTTCTTAAATCTTGCCAAGAAAACTGCAGGGACTAGTCCACATTGTCACTAGGAGTCAACACTGACTCAAAGGCATTAATGCAATTCTTAAAATAAAACAAATTCTTAATTAGAATACAATTCTTCTTCATGGTTGAAATAATGTTTGTAGATGAGCATGTGGGACAAAAATTGCTTTTTGTGTGTATTTTTATTAAGTATTCTTATTTAGGAAGGAGTAGTTATACATTCACTACTGTTGAATGGTTAAGCAGGTATAACAGCTATATATGGCTGCTATACTTGATCAAATAGTAGACTTTATAGCAAACATTTTGAACAACAATAAATGAAAATAAGTTGAGCAAAGTAATCTAACCTCTCTAGTTTTGTCTGGAAGTATTTTTCTTTCTTTCATTCACCATTATGAAAATATGGCATTGTGTAGTTTCATTCAAAGAAGAGATTGCTTGAGACAAGAGAAAGCTTCTGCAACATTGCCTTCCACTTAAGAGGCAGTGATGCTTAACTTGCCCAAAGTTTTCTTCCATTACTTTAAAATAATTAAATTTGGTGATACTTAGAAAAAGGATATATAGAATATATAAATAAGAGAATTCTTCAAGATGGTACTGGGATGGTTAAGATGTTCTGACAAAATTTTATTTTATACCTAGTGCCAAAGGGAGGGAAACGAACTGGCTAGTATAATGCAAAAGAAATTGATTTGATCTATTTTATAAGTCCATTCCTTGTCTACACACTAATTACTTTTTGTGAATTCTGTTACAGTTGGACTTATTGTTAAGATTTTCCTCCAAATAAATACAAGAAAACACATCTTTTTGAAAGTATTGACTCATGGAGCTAAAAGTTTAGTCAATTCATGTCAAGTATATTTAAATGAGTAATGTAATAATGTACTTTAATGCAAGATATTACATTATTACATGTTTATTTTAAAAAGTCATTGGACAGGATAGGTGCATCACGTCCCATTGATACTTTCCAAGAGACATAAACACTGCCTATGATAACACTTGGTGTTTTGAATTACAACACCCATCGTTCCCACTTAGCACAGCCAGCTATCTGACTGACCCAGAGTCCCATAACTTTGGCACTCCGGAGATTACATGTCTAAGACAGATGTCTCCAATAGCCTCAGACTTTCCAGTGCAGACAGTGCAAAAAGCCAAAGTTGACTGGGAGGTGATGGATGTTCAGTTTCATGACAACGGCATACCCCTTGAAGGCTCTTCCAAAAGCCTAGAGAGATCTGTTTAGCCTCCCTTCTGGTGTTCTTCTACCCTCAGGAATAATCTTTTTTACAGAGAGAAAAAGAGAGGGAGGGAGGGAGAGAGAGAGAGACCTTTCACCTGTCAAGTGGATATGTTTTCTCAGCTGCTGCTCTTGCCATTTGAAAGGATCTGTGTTGTTTTTACTAGTTCGTTTTACGTGTTATTTAGATGTGTGTTTTTAAATTTTGAGTGTTATTAGCCACCTTGGACAGGACAAGAAATTAAATAATAAATAAATAAGGAAGGATAGAATCTCCAAGTTGTAGTTTGACTCATAATAAACCAAAAAAAAAAAATCTCTGCTTTGAACTGTCCAAGATTCTTCAGCGCAGATCTGAAGCAACCTGCCTGGCTAACTCGGCCAAAGGCATCTTATGCTATACTGTGGACTAGTTCTGCTCTACAGCTGCATTATATGAAAAGGAAAACAAATAAGACTATACATGATTCAATTCTGATTACAGTTTGTTCCTAAGTGAGCAAATGAGTGAAAAGCAGTGTACTTGTATGTACATATTTTGCCTATTAGAGAAAGTGCATCTCGGTCTTCATTGGCTGCTGGTTGCTTGAGCTCAGTCTAGCCATGCAAGTAAATATAAGCTGGCAGTGGGCAATTCCTTTTGTACTTTAGACTTCATTATATTTTTATGAGATAAGGATTTTCCCTGAATTGGAATAGTGATTTCATAGCCATAAAAACTTGGGATGTTTTTCTTTAAATAAAGATAGCTTCAGATATAAATAGCACTTTAGACACATGTGATTCTAATTTACAACATGTTTAATGATTCCAGCAGGGTTATGTTAAATATGCTAACCTAGGAACCAGAATAACATACTTTTAAGAACTATATAGCAGCTCAGGAAGTCTTTTTTATTCATAGTTAATGTTTCCTAGACTACTGGCACTTTTTTCCCCTAATTGTTCCTCCTCTGTCCCATTCTTTTGTTCTTTAGATACTGTTTAGATTTTTTAGTTTT